CGAAGCGCTCATGAAAGAGCACAATATAGATGCAAAACGCTTGGCAAATTTGGATGAGTCTGGATGTTCCCCGGAGCGAGGAACTGGAACTAACTGCATGTCAACCTATATTACCAGGCACACACTTCCGCAACAACGAGCTCCCAAATTTAAAAATGTTAAGAGAGTGACAATCATGCCAGTTATATTTGCCAATGGAGATACTGCCAATCCCTTGTTTGTTGTCGAAGGCTGCTCGTTAATGTATCGTATCATCGATGTAAGCAACCGGGACGTTTGTGAGTCACTTGCCGATTGTATTCCTCGTGGCGCATACATCACAACACGCGAAGAGGTGGCTGGAATAGACAAAAAAATATTCAGAGAATGGGTTACACGGTTTGTCAAGGAGATAGCGGACTTGACGCAGAATGAGCGTAAAGTGCTCCTGCTGTACGATGGTTACAGAAGTCACATGGGAATAGAAGTATTAGAAACACTCAAAAAGGGAGGAGTAATCGCATATGCTCTTCCCTCGCACACGAGCGGGTCTACACAACCGCTGGATGTTGGGCTTTTTGGACCATTTAAGCACCATCTAAACAAGGAAATTTGCGCTACGTCGACTACAGTAACCGCGAGTGAGCTGGACAAGTTTGACTTCCTCAAACTGATGTGTGAGGCGTACGAGGCGTCGTTCACACGTGCGAATATAATCTCTGGTTTTGAAAAGGCCGGTTTGTGGCCTTTAGATCCTCACAGACTGTTAAGAACCCCACGACCGTTCAGTTCCGAAGACGCATCCCGCATTTTATTAGTGAAAGAAATGGAGGAAATGCTTGAGCTAAAACGGAAGACACGGGCTCAGGGCATCGGTTTGAGACCAAAAGTTTCAAAGTGTGGCTATTTGGACACATCTAAGGGGCTGAATCTATGCAGTCAAGAGGCGATGAAGCTCGTCAAAGAACAGGAGGAGAGGAAACGCAGTACGTATGCGCGAAAACGTCTTTATGCTGCAGATAAAAGTGGTCGTGAGACGCTCGACGTGTTGAGAGTGCGGCGAGAGCGGGTCAAGTTTGAGCAAAGGAAGCTTTGGTTTCGAGTGAAAAGGTACGAGGATCCGAACGTGATGCCAAGAACACTGAAAGTGCGTCGGAGCTTAGCGGTGAGGCGCAAGCTTGAATGCAAGATGGCGACCGAGTCTTGTTCTTCTTTGTATCAATGAAAATAAATGTAACGGTTTGATCTCGTCAGTTGAGATGGAAAATTGCAGTTAAAATTGTGGCTTCCGGTTATGACTCTGCGTTCAAGACAGAGTGGTATCTTGCCTCTGATTGAAGGTGAACTTGGTGCGAGGGGGACTCAATATAAATATCACTGACGAGTAAATCGGCGTTACGCTGGAACTGGATCTGGCGCAGTTCTTTTCTGCGATGTATGAGTTGGAAAGGCGAGGTCGTGGAACGTTTCCTTCGTATTTTATTATTAAAATGTTTGATATCGTTCAGATTAGGGGGACCCCCCCGAGTACCAGGCGAGCTGAGTCATGGACGCAACACCAAGGGCAAAAATGAGACGGGGCCAGGGCCAGAACTGTTGATACAATCGTGTCATTCGTCAACATTAGATGCACTGTACAAGGTTTCCATACAAGGCCTCTTTGTCCCACAAAACTTCGTTGAGGGGGAGTGGTCTACTCGTGCTCGTACTGTACCTTCAGTGATCTTTACGTGTGCAGGTGCTTCAGCACTGTGCGCCCTACCGACACTTCTTGCACTACTGCAACGGCTCTCCCTACCGACACTGTTCAGCCTACTGACACTGTTCGAACCGACACTGTCTGTTCCTAGGAAACCATCAACTGCTCGAAATAGGATAGGATACATATCGTAGAGGGTTGTCTGCAAAGCTGAAGAGAGAGAGGCACGAACACAGAACGAAGTAAACTTCACGCTTTGGTGAGCATTCACCCCGTCATTAGCAAGACTTTGCTAAGTGCCTTCGCGCACTGTCCCCGCGCTCGTGTGCGCTGCCCTCGCGCTCGTGCGCACTGTCCCTGCGCTCGTGCGCACTGTCCTCGCGCTCGTGCGCACTGTCTCTGCGCTCGTGCGCACTGTCCTCGCGCTCGTGCGCACTGTCCCCGCGCTCGTGCGCACTGTCCTCGCGCTCGTGCGCATCTCTACCGTCACACACACGAGAGACGCCGCGTTCGGCGTCTCGCCCCAAGACGCACAACAAGAACGTCTCGGAGCGGATGACCGCGCAGGACCTATTCTCCTGATCGCGACTCTGACATCTCGGCATGGTGCGATTGCCGGCAATTGCTGGGCGCTAAGATTTGCACTGCACAGCAATGCCACGGATGCACGTCCCGACGGGATGAAAGCGGTTCAGGTAGCCAGAAAACGGTCAGCGAGAGTATTTTGGTGGTCTCTGAAGTAGGTTGTCAGTGACATGGCAGTGACAACCTATTTCAGACTCGCTGTGACAACTTGTCACATGTGCAGAGGAGAGCAACATCGCATACCATGACAGTGACACTGTCTCGCTCTAAGTAAATTATATGAGAACAGACATCCCATTCCGGATAGCGCGATTTGACACGCAGGCGGGCATACAGCAGCTGAATTTGTGCGAGCGCACAGGCGGGGTTGGGATGCAAGTTACAGAGGGAGACCTTTACGGGCCCGCGGAAGGACTCTCTCTGCGCGAGCCGATCTTTGCGCGGGCGCGGTTTGAGGAATGTACAATATTCCGTGCCTTTTCCTCAATCAGCGACTCAACAATGGGGTAGGGTTATTTGGTTATCATCCCAAACCCTTGACATCTATGTCGGCTAACCGAGCTCCCATACATTATGACTTCATGTGCTGTACTCTGTGCAGTAAGTTTTTGGAGTCGGGTCTTTCCCATCTTCTTTTTGGCAGCGATGGTTAATCCTTGGGGCCGTACCATTGGGAAAACACTGTACATGTGCCATTAGCGTTCTCTCGACATATCGGCTGCCAGATATTTGACATCTTGAGATTCAGCGTTGCATCATAACGCAGAAGGATATCCAGGACGCAAAAATTGATGATTGACGGACATGTCTGATGAGCCACGCCGTTGGATTCATTTTTATATATGACTTGGCAATGGTTGTGATGGTAAAAGGGATTCCCTTGGATGTTTTAAAAATCGTATCCAGACAACTGGCATGCACCATATCTCTGGCAATCGGGAAGATTTATTCTAAATCTCTCCGGTTGTGAGATATATGGTGATATCCATTCCGTTGGCCTCTCCCGTGAAGACGCGCCCAACATTTCAGTGGCAAGCGTATCATCCCTCTTTGAATAGATATTTTTCTCGTTCATGCGACATATTCAACGTCGTGGACAACTATCGAGACAGGAACAAGAATCAACGAACGGAAACTCACAAAAAGATCCTGCTGCACATCCAGCAGAGTACAGTATTATAGATCCGGCCTTCAATTTCTCCATCGCATCGCTTTTATGCCAAGGTAGCATCCGGATACAGCATTGGGCATGTCTAGCGAGAGGTTGTAGCTGCGAATCAAAACACCAAACGGAAACAGTTCAGATTCAGAGTTACCACGTACGGTTCCTCACCTCTTGGCGGCTATTCGCTAATTCTTGAAGCTGCGCTGTTGATGATAACGTAGCCATCTGAAATCATTGTATTATCTCAACGTCATGCAACAATGCGGCAATTATGTTACATATTGTGTCATATGCATGTCGCGACATTAGACATCTTTCTTTGCATGGAACTGTGTACAGTATGCCGTTGAGGCTGAATCTCTGGCAGGAGCTATACTGTACATGTCCATGGTCGGACATAGGGCATAGACATATGAGTTTGTGAGGGTGAGCAAAGCAAGAAGGACGTACCGTACTAACATCTGAAAGATGAAGAGGCTGCACTCGGACAGAATGTCACAAGCGTAGTGCTGGTCGCTCTCTCAAGCGATACTGCCCGTACAGCCTTCAGTTACAGCCAACTGATGCCTCGCGACTAGTACAAAGTTTTCAATGAATGAGAGAATTCGCCTTTCTGGAAAATGATATGCACTCTCGTATTTTGCCTTGTACTTCGATCCTTTTCATCGCATACTCGATGACACACGCGCGATGGGCTTATGTTAAGAGGCGAATTCAAGCAATGCTTCATACAGTGGACCCCTGTCTTTTGTCTCCCCGCCTATGGAGCATAAAGCATCCCAATTACATGACGCTAACATGCTTCAAATGTGCTTCTGCAAGACTTCCAACTCTGGAAATCTTGCGATTGCGTTGGAGACGGTTGTCAAAACGTCGTATCAAGTTGTTTCCACCGAACGAAAAGGAACACTACAATACAAGCTTTGGTCTACGTTGATATGTGTACTTTGCTCATCCACTTTTAACGCTTCGATTTTCAAGAAGTTGATCCAACAAACTGCCTGTCTGACATCACGGCTGGTAATCTCTTTCCTGAATAAATGCCGAGTGAACAGAGGCGGTTTCACTATTTTCACTGCTGTTCCGTGTAGAAATTACGCACACGGTCCCCACTCGTCCCGCTATTCTTCTTTTTATACTGACTAATATGATTCAATTGATGCCACCAACTAGTAAAGCATTACTCGGGAAGATGTCTTCTTCCACATGGAAAGATATGAAGCAGAAGCAGGACCTATCGAGACTCAAGAACCCGATGGATTCCGCCTCCTTCATACCTCCAATTTTACATGTTACGGCTAGCATACCACATTTTCGCTCTTCATTCCCGTGAGCTGCATAAGTGGATCCCTCAGGGATCCATGGTACGAACGTCGGCCAGACCTAGAAAGCGACATCTATCGAAGGAGATGCAAGTATTCGTCGTTGTACTGTACATCACCACCCACCTTTCTATACACCATCCTTAAAGAGCATCTTTATCTTGAACGCCGCTCCATTCTTGGTGATCCTGTGGGTTTGGAGAGTGCCGTCGTACTTGCACCTGTGCCTTGATGGAAGAAAAATACAGATATGCGATGGGCCAAAAGCCAGGCCTTCTTGCCGACTGGAAACCCAACGCTGCACAATTGCGATACTTCACCTCTGCAATCCTGTATATATAAGCACCTCTCTCCACACCAGCGATCTCTTCTTCTCCATCCTTCACTCAACTTCCCATCCACGCTCACCACGGAAGAGCCACCACCTATCCAATTTCGCAACCGAACACCGACTGCCTACCACCTACAATGATCAAGCCAACGCTCTTCCTCGCCCTTCTGGGCCTCATCGTCACTTCCGTCTTCGCCGCAGACACCCCAACTGCGGCACGTGCGGTGCCGTACTACCCACCTCATCGCCCGAGATGCCCCTGCCGCTGCATCCTGGGATACTACGCTGAGCAGACGGCTACCCGGATGTGCAAGCGTCGTCGGTTCCTGTACAGCTGCTCGGTGCAGGACTGCACCAAGCACTACCGCCCCGGAAAGACTTGCTGTGATGTTCACAAGCCATCAGTTACGCCCACGCCTACCGCATCAGTTACGCCCACGCCTACCCCATCAGTTACGCCCACTCCTTCGCCCAAACCGAAGTGCCCTTGCGTCTGCACGCGCAGGGGAGCTGCCCGCCGCGATTGCCACTACAAGCCGTACTGCGAGGTCACACGGTGCCCGGAGGATCACAGCAATGATCACCATACCAACCCCTATGGCCAGTACTACAAGCCGAGGCCGAAGTTCCAATGCTGCTACAAGCCGCACTATTAAGGCATGAGGGGTCCATGTCTCGCGTTGGGGGTTGACTGCTGGTAAGAAGTGAGAAAATGAGTGTAGCTCAGTTGTGGCCTCCTCAGTCAAACGGCACAAGGTCGTCCTGGACACATATACTCTGTCCCATGTTGTCTGTAGTTCAGTTCCATCTTACTGCTTGTAAGCTGGGAAGTTTATGATTTGTTTAGAGCAAAGAATGTATTGGGCAGGTGTATAGGATGTCACACACATAGCCCAATACGCAGCGCCGTCAGTCCTTGCCTCATCGGCTGGTTGCGCCAAGCTTCCTCCTTGGCTTGCAGTTGTACGACGAAAATATGTCTGTTTGATAGCATGTGGAATTCGAGTAGCTCTTAAAGTAAACCTCATGTGCCCTTCGAGGAACACCCAAAGCCGCTCATGCCTCTCACTCCTGCGCTTAGTCCATTCGCACAGACTTGTCAAAGGGCAGCAACTGGACTTTTTCCGTATATGCCTTCGTACTGTTGGCGTGGAAATGAGTGTTTGCATTATATCCACGGCGTGTGCGCCAACCGCCCCATCGCTTTCGAGTGTCGGGTTTCCGCATATCTTCCTCCACGACGTACCGTCGGGCGGACCCGTCCCCGCGCCACTGGCCCACCCCGACCTCCTTACCCCACCATGCTGCTCGCGCACCATCATGCGATCGCAGTCCTTCTCGCGCTCATGATCGCCGCGCCGCGCGCCGCAGCGCGTCCATTCGAGGGCCTGTAGTTGGGCTGGTACACGGCGGTGGGAGGCCCCATCCTGCTCAGCGAGCGTACAGGTATACCGCCTCTACCTGCCCGGCGCTGTAGCACTCTGAGCCCTTTGTAGGTTCATTTTTCGGAAGGCTTCCTCCAGTGTCTATCCGACAGTGCGTTGACAGTGCAGCCAGGTAGACGAATCGAAGTGCTGAAATGGTCACTTAGTCTCTGCACGAGAAAATGAGAGATGAGAGTCGGAGTGCTCCGTCTCTTTGGTGTGCAGGAGACCTTGGCTAGAAGAGTCATGCGTAACAGGGGCAACCGACGTCAGATGTACAGAACGGTGGATGACAGTGAGGCAGAACAGGTATCGGTAGAGCAGGGTAGAGCAGAGCAGAGTTGTGAAAGTTGTGAGCATTCATGCTCATGAACGGAGTAGAGCAAGTAAAAGTTACTCGGTTGTCTTTATATTCAGTGGGGACAGTAGTGAGGGTCACCCCACCGCCAACAAAATTTCAGTCCTAAAATTCCAACTACTAAAGTTTGGACCGATGGAAGAGATTTTGAACCCCACCGCGCCAGCATTTGTCCTAAAGTTTAGAATTTGGGCAGGATTCTTTCCAAACCAAAATTATTTGGTCGAGATTTTTGTCCAAAGCGCCGTTTGGGCGAGCTTCGTTCTATAGTAACGGTACAGAAAACATCTGAATTTCATGTGGTTACAGCTCTACCAAAGCTCTTCCAAATGGCTTTGTGGCTGGTTTGACTGAAGTCCCATCAATAGTGTGGGGCGCAAAAGGGAGTGTTGTGCTGTTGTGAAATCCAGGGGGGGAAGATACAAAAGTATTCTTCCAGTGTGTGTGACAATATCCAAAGGATGGTCGTCTCGCGCAGAAGCGCACGGGGTCTCGCGTACGAACGCGGTAGCAAATTCTTGCCAAAGAATATCGTGAATACTCACAGTTGGTGATTTATTACGTCCCTTTCTTCTTCTTTTCCTCGCTCTACAAAGCGGTAGGGTACATATATTTGTCAGTAACGAGAACGCCGCATTTCTAAGAGTTGCGCTCGCTGTCTGCATTATTTTCTGTCAGCTCTCCGAAATGCTGTCTGCTTCTTCCACATTATCAGCAACGAGCTTCTACACGTGTTATCTGTGTCAACGTATCCCATCTCGCACACGTGTGTCCGTTGTGAGTACACACGAGTGTTGACGACTGACAAGCACATGTGTTTCTCTACACACCCGCAATTTTCTTGTCGGAGGACAACACCTGTTTGTGCGGCGGGGCCATGACCCACTGTCGGACGTCGTGTTGCACAAGGTGAGAGCGGAGCAATCCCTGTAGAGCGCTGTTGCTCTTAATTTTCGTCAGGGCGTCAGCGTAATTAACCTCGGAGCTGATAAGGGCAACATTAGAAATGACCTTCGTTTGATATGCTTCTCGTGCTGCCGATGTGTCAACCATTAGTCTTTTTTCTGTTGTATACCTCGACTTAGTCAAAACTTGGAATAGAGCCTCGCTATCCGTGAACATCAGCAGTGGAATTGATCGCCCTAAAATTCTTGAAAGGTCGTGTTTGATTAAGTATGCGCAGTCAAAGCCTTCTACAAAAGCGAGAGTTTCACCAGCCATTGATGATCGCGTCACTCGCGTCGATTTGTATGAAGAGTAATGCAGAAACGCGCATCGATCAAACTTGTCTGTTAACAAAATCAAGTACCCCAGCTGCGACCTGTTCTGTTCCCTGTTGTTATGTGAGGCGTCAGTGTACACTAGCAGCCTGACCGAATTTATGTCGAGCTTTGGGAATCTCAGCTGAACCTCTGCCGTTTGCTTCAAATGCTTGACAATTCTGTTCAAAGCCTGGTTACCGTGAGTGTCATGAATGCGTTCAGTGATCTGTGCAGCAAAGGACACAGCGCATGCTATGTCTGGTCTCGTGTGTACGACCCAGGCCAGACGAGCCCGGAGAGATCTAAACTCTTGAAACGTGGAGGTCTTTGTCAGGAACCTTAGTCTCTCGATATATTTCTTTTGAGATAACTTTCGCTCATTCCTATCCGAGGTGTCACATTGGAGCCCTGTATAGGTGAAACTTGTTTCGTTGTTCAGTTTGATGTCGAATTCATTCTTGAAGTGGGTTTGCAAGCGCTTTTTCTCTTCCTTTGTACCTGCTTGAAAAACATCATCCACGTACGAGCCTGATAAGGATACTAGTTTGTCCCTTATTCGTCTAAAGAATAGAGCAAAATCCCCTGTCGACTGTTCCATTCTCAGTTTTCCTAGGTGAAACTTGTGATTGGTCTCACACCAATAATCTCCGGAGTCAGTCAATCCATACAATGGTTTCAATATTTGCACTAGTTCATCTGGTCGAAGTTCAATGGATGCTGGGCGAGTAAACACTTTGCGTTGTAGCTCTGATGCTGCTTGTAGATACGCCTGTTTTACATCGAGTGACCATACTTCGAACCCAAGAATAGTAGCCAATGCCAAGATAATGCGCACTGACGATTGTTTCAGATTGAATGTATTGTGCACCACGGAGTGCTTTTCTCTATCGCGATGTCCACCAAGGACTAAGCGAGCCTTATAAAGTGTGGATCCATTATCTGCGTGTTTGATTGTGAGGACGTATCGTGACGGGACTATGTTTGGATGCGGTCCTGCCTCCTCTTCCAGTATGATCTTAAAGGTTCCCTTCTCAATCAGCCCGAGTATTTCTTTTCTTTTAGCATCGTCGAACAGATGTTCTCTAGCATCTCCAGGTTCCAGCGTTTCGGTATGCATTATTGTGTTATGGTCGGTTTCAGATCTAGAGAGTTGTTCGTCATATGTTGGGTGTCGTTGCAGTGGTGCCGGTCGAAGTTGAGCTATGTTAAAAGGACGTGGGCCGGTACTTTCTCCTAGGTGCAGACGTATGCATTTCTCCTCCACCGATGCTACGAGATGTGGGCCAGTATATTGTTTTAGGCCTTCCCGGTACACGTACGCGAAGTCTCCTGGTACGTAAACGTGATCCGCAGCCGGTGGCGGTACAGTGCGTAGGCCTCGCTGCACAATGCTCTTGGCCACCACTTTCTCGTATTCCTTTCTTGCCGTGCAAGCCGCTCTCAGTCGCTCCCTTTGTACAGGAAAATCACGCTCGGATATATCGGGCAGTTTCGGGATTACCCCAAAAACCAATAGCGTGGGCACCAGTCCATGAGGTCCGACGGTCTCGTTCATTGCTTGGACCGATTTAGCAAGGGCTATATCTTCGGGCAAGGCGCGGTGATCACACAGTACTTTTCTATAAATTGTTCGGAGTGTGGAGTGATACTTTTCGCCAATCCCTAAGGAATTGTGACTTTCTGTTCCTGTGTTAAGTAGCTCAATTCGGGAGGATTCACAATTGTATTTCCATTCTCGAGAAAGAAAGACAGAACCTTGATCTGTAAGTAATGATTCCGGGAATCCAACGTAAACTGAAGACCAAATTTTGATAAACGTATTCCAAATTGTGGTTGTGCTACTGTCCTTCAAAAATGCTGCGGCACTAAAACGAGTTCCAGCGTCTATAACATGCAACACGGGTCTAGACTTTTGCCGTCTGTCTTTCAGAAACATGATGTCCATCAATATGCGATGATGGAATTTGATCTTATCTGCGTCTCTGATGCGAAATGTGATTTATTTGGGAGCATATAGAGTGCACGTCTCGCATGCCTTTGATACATCCTTGAGGGTCTTCAGAGTATCGGGTTGCAGGTTCTCGGGATCAGCTCTGC